AAATAACAATAAGGAATAAGCTAGATGGAGTCGATAACTAATTATCGGATCGTAAGGGTCACAATAAGAAAGATATCACATCATGTAAGTCAATAATTTTTGGCCGGTCACACTGGTGATACGAATAAGGGTTCTGAGTTTTGAAGAAAGTGAGAGACTTGAGATAACTAGTTCGACCTACACTAACCAAGCGCAGTTTTCTCCGCCTGCATAACAGTCATGTAGTGTTCCTTTTCCATTTTAATAACAAAGTCATTCAGTGACAGCCCATGAGCAGAATTCTAAAAAATCGCAATAATGTCTTGAACAAAGAAAGAAAACTATAAGCAAAGGCTACTTCTCTCTGGGGGACGACTGGCTCGTTGGAGTTTGTGGCATGCACAGCTCGCCGTGGTTCGCGTGGAGGTCTCGAGCTCATTGTGACGCGAGAAGCCTTCTCTTGCGATCGCGATGCATTAATTGGCACCTCCTTTACTGCGACTCCATTTGCAGGTGACACACTGCGGCTGGTCACTCGTGACACCATTGTTTCACGTATTCTAAATGGACAGTTTGCAGTAGTGAGATATGAGATGCGAATGTTCCAAAGGTAATTAGGCAATGTTCGCATGAAATACTCAATTACACAATGAACAATGCCTATGAAGAGTGCTGCATCATTAAATACTGTTAAAATATCAATAATTTATTTGGCTCCTCTTCTCTACTGCATTCTAACAAATTCTCCGCTAGAACATAACTCAAATCTTTCCTTAACAAATTTCCAGCTGTTTTCTTCATAATGCGAACATAAGGATAAAGGAAAAGATTTCGACGTTAAACTTTTGCTCGACGTGTACGACGCATTCGACTCCATTTAACTTAAAACCAGAATTTAAAATGATTAAATATTATTACGCTGACCTAGGATGGTCCGCACTGGTATGCACAGTTGGCATTGACGGACTGCGAGGACGAACAAGCAAGTTTCTGTCCGAATGCGTCCGCCTAAATCGTACAGCAAGACTTTTACCCGAAGAAAGAAATGAAGAAATCATTGACTGAAAATAAGCGTATTAGATGATCATGATTTATATTACTGAAACATAAGCGAGCACGATTAAGAAACCAGCATTTGGCTAACAGGGACAGAAATTGGAAATACGTTATTGACAAGACGCAGATTCCTGCAATACTTTATGGCCAACTTTAAATCCCCAAAGAAAAAATGATTCTAACTCTTCCAATAGAGAGTGAAAGTAAGGGACATACAAAAACTATTTTTAAAAGTTTTTCTAACGTATCCCATGCAAGTAGAGAAGCGATTGAGCTTATCCGTGGGAAAAACCGATAGTAGGAAAAAACTATTAATGAAAGCATCTACTGCGAAACCCACTACGATGTGAACATGCATCAATGATAGTAGTAATCTACAATGTTATAATAGCTGCAGATGACTGTAGTAGCTCTTGAAAGTTTCTAATTATTCAAACGGCGGATAAGCAGTGTCATGATTTGGCGCCCTAGTACGCATAGGATTGGCAGAGATAAGTGCTCCGAGTATACTTTACCGCAGGAGAAGAAATCGATCTCCTAAGAATATGCAAAGGCTTTGACAGTGGGCCAAATTTGCACGTTCTTAAAGTCCAATGGGAGCATTACGAGCATGCTAGAGTAAACCTTGTCTAGGTTCCAACAGGAGAAATGATAAA